AAATACTAAATTCATTTTCTTATAGTATTTATTTTCTCGTATCTTATTTTCAAGATTGTCTGGCTCTTCATTTTAGCTCTATTTCACTTGAATCTTAAGGCTCCAAACAAGGATTGACACTCAAAATTCAATGAAAATATTCTGTCTATATCAGAGTCATTTTTAGTAAGAGGTGAGAGGCCATAAGATGGCAGAAGAGCAAGTTGCCTTCTCTGTAGGTCTACATGGAAGTACATATGCCTGTGGGCTTACACAGGCACATATGCTTTGCACAGGTCCTAAAGCTGCACTATACTTCTAGTACAGGTATTCACACAGGCTTTCTTTAAACTGAACTGCCAGTTCTCATCCTAAGTTTCTGGACATTTATAACTCTAAAGATCAAGTAACTAAGTCTTGTTTTCTTTTAAACAAACCTTTTATTTTCTTCCTGGGCAGCATTTTCTTTACCCAGCACCATGGTGCTATGCAGCTAGTTTGGGGAAGGATTGTTCTTCATCCCCTCTACTTTCAGACAGAACAGATTTAGTTGGTTAGTGTCTTAGAAGATTATTTTACATAAATTAGTATGTAATATTCTCCTTATTCTTCACTGTCTTACTTTTTATGTGGAATTGAAGTCATGGGTGAATCTACTGGGTTATGTTGCGATCATCTGGTAATAATTTTGAAAAAAAGAGTTTCCCACACAAGTTAAATGAAGACCCACAATTTTGAAGTGTATTATAGCATCTTGTATAAACTCCAGCTTAAATTTCACATTATTCTTGGTCATGTAGTAGGTTGTGAAGAAGAAAGAGCTGTGGATAATCAGTTAAAAGAATGACAGATTCCCTGATGTGCTGATCAGTAGTAATACCTAATTTCGATTTCGAGTGTGCTATAATGGATTACCATATAGATGCAGCTGAGCATTGAGTATTAAATAGAGCCACATGTTTTTCAGAAAAGTAATATTTATTCACACTGTGTGATTTTCTTGAATTTTTTTATTTTATTCTCCAGTGAAACTACAAACAAGATGTCAATAGCTTATGTGGCATTCACAGCAGTGTAGCTTAGACTGTCAGTTGCAGTTGAAGAAATGCCAGATTATATTTGCCTCAGTAAAGGTAGACTTCATCTGGGACTTCTGAGGGACAGGTTTATCATTTCGACATAGATGGTTGTGTTTGGCTTTATTTTTATTGACCTCATAGACTTTAATGTATAAAAATGGCCCTTTGTAATATTTGCATACAAAAAGAAGTATTAGCATAGGTATTGCCTCAGCCTCTGACTTGTTGTATAAGAGTCTGTCCTTTTGGGAATATTCTTAGTAGCTCAGATATTAGGCATGCTCTTTCATATGCAAACCTTACTAAGTTTACTTTTGAGTGTCTTTAAAAGTGCATCCGTTTTGTAAATCTGAAAACTTTTATCCAGAAGTGTTGATAATGATGATAGTTTTGACCTCAGAATAAGATGGATGACTACCTTTGTGGCAGACTGACAGCATCTAAGTATCTGTACACAAATCATCTTGTTGTATTCTCTATGTTTCCTGATACTAAAAAGATGTTTTTCTTTGTTGCTTACTAACAAAGGAAAACCAGTATGTGCTTTGGAAAACTGAAAAGCGTGATTCAGTGTCAGGTTGGTTCCTGACTAATTTAAAGGTCTAGAAAACAGTGGGCATGTCAAACATTCATCTAGTACAAAATAAGATCTATTCTGAATCTTTAATTTGCTCAACATCTTCTTGGTAAGATGGAATTAGAAGGATCGCCTGATCCTGCAGTGTAGGTGGAGTGGCAGGCCCTATTGAAGTAGAATGTGTAAGAAAGTAGGACACCGAGTCCTTGTTGTGCCATTTGCTTAGGCAGATTAAAATGCAGGGTAGGAGGCAGAAAAAGTATAGGAAGGCCTCACTGGGACCAGGCTTCCATCTACATAAGGTAGCAGCCATCTGATGAGAAAAAGGCCAGCAGAGAGCCTGTGCCCCTGAAGTGTGGTACACTTCTTTTAGTGCTTCAGCCTTTTAATATGATGAGAATAACCTAATTAATAGTGTAAAGATTACTGTGGCACACAAAAAGATGTGCTGCCCAGATTTCCATTCAAGAAAGAATTTTCAGCCCAGCTGATGGCCTCTAGCTGTTAGCACCCTCAGCTGTCCAGCCCTGGTTATACTCTTCTCACCATATCCCTGAGCCAGTGACTGATCTGGGCAGGAGTAGGAGGGCCTTCCACTTCTAGTTGCTCAGGACTCCTAATTTTTGCTCCAGAGCTCCTGCTCAGCTGTTTTGGCTCCTCTGCCCATCTTGCTTCTTCTCTGTTGCTTTCCCAGATGCTTGCTTCTTAGTCAACTGCAGTAGACTGTTGGTATCCACAGGTATATGGTTCCAAATTGACTGCCCATTGAGTTCAGTACTCAAAAATTACTCAGATTTACTTATACTGTATGTACTGTATGTTTGAGCATTCATCCATTACTTTAAACCACACGGAGTAGGCTACATTATAGTTACAAAAAGTACTGCTGTACACATTAATACTGCTTATCTAAAACTAGATCTTACTTCATGCTCTTTATCTTGAACACTGAAGGTACTTGATTCATTTTTCCCATAATGCCATCCAGCTTCTGCTAAAGACATGCCATCTTTCAACAAATGTGCAGTTTTCATTTTATCACTTAAATTAAGCACATTAAGTTTTACCTTGTTTGGAGGGTACCATTTGCTTTGTGGGAAGCAAAATTAAGGGCAGGGAAACACTCAGCAGATCATACAATGATTTAAACACAAGTGATGATAATGTTGGGATTGACTGAGCTTTTTTGCATCAACTGAGTTGCACAGTACAACATGTACAGGAGTTTAAAATTTTTGTTTTTGAAATTTGTTTAATTATTTATTTTTTTGTTGCACTTGGTCAAAACTGCATGTAATAAATCTGCAAAGAAGGTGGGCTTGCTATATTTGCACTACCTCCATCTCTGCACGTCTCCTAGAGAACTCCTCTGGCAAAGGTTAATATTAATTTTTCAACAAAGATACTAAACTGGGCTCCACAGTAAATTTTTCAGTGAGGAGAAAGTATGAGTTAAAAGAATCATAAAACTAGTACAAATAGAGACTCTCTGGAGTCAGGACACTGTCAGTCTCTTGTCCCACTTGTGCTTATGGCTCTAGAGTTTGGTGTGGCAGCAGCCTAAATTCTGGAGTCATTGGGTTGCTTGTTCTATTCTCTTTGTTCGTGACATTTTCCTGTAGGCTGTAGCCAGCTCTGTGAGTTCTTGGTCTCCTGTTTGTGTTGTATTCTGTAGCTCAGGGGAATGTTCACAGTTACATTCTGTTGTAGAAAAATGCTTATGTGGGTTCTTATTAAGACATTTTGTAGAGAACTTTTAAGTATCTTTTGACTCTCTTTTAATATAATGAAACTTAACACTTTTGTATTTATCTCAGCTTTATATTTAGTTTTCTTTACTAAATTCAGAGTTAAATGTTATTAACTCAGTGGTATTTAAGGAAAGATGGGATACATTTTATGTTAACAGGAATATAAGACCATAGGAAAAAGTCAAGATTAGCTACAGATTTCCTAATTTTATAAGTAAAAAGAATTTATATTCACTTACTGAGTATTCACTGAACACTGTTTGCCAGGCAGAGATCCTCTAAGTGCTAGGGATGTTTTAGGAAGCAAGACAGAAGTGTTACTCTCATGAATTTATTATGCTTTAGTGGAGAGTGTGTAGTCTTAAAGTGAGTTAACTAGCAAGTCCTTTCGACTAGGAGGACAGGACAGGTAATAGAGAAAGCACCAGAGGAGCAGGAAGGGTTCAGGCTCCACCAGACAGAACACTTAGAAGCCTCAGTGAGGAAGTAATGCTTCAAGTAAGACTTACACGTGGTTAAGGAGATGCCTTCTGTATAGGGCTATGGGTGGACATGTGGTCCAATCTGAGAGAAAAGTTCCTGCCATTTAAAGTTACTTATATTTGGTGGAAGTTTACCTCTTTTGACTTTCCCATTAGAAGTTCCTGCAGCTTACTTTGTTGTCCACTGGAACAAATAAAGTAAATATATGTGTATGTTACTGACCTAGTTGGAAAATTACGACAAAGAAACAAAACAAACAAAAATCTCAGGCTGGCTCAAATGGAGGAAAGCAATTTATTAACTGCCTGGAAATGTACAGCAGATCTGAATACAAATTTTTGACCTCAGTTTTTGAAGTGTTAGACTATTAGGCTAGCTAAACCTAGAATGGAGATTTTCATTGTACAAAAGTGATGTGTTATCAACACCAACAGGTGTATTTTGACAAGTTTGGGGATTTTCTTCAGTTTTTTGAAAAAGTAGTTGCAACTAAAATGCAAGGAATTTTACTACTCAAGGATAACTTGTCAAAACCTGTCCTAGAGTGGGTGGAGGGAGTTATTCTCATTGATTAGAATTTATTTTTGGTGGTATGAGACTACTTTTATTAGCCAAATACTCTTGTACACCATAAATTTGTTCTTTAACTACTAATGAAGACTTGCATAACAACAATCCTAAAACTTTTAGGCCATTAATTTTATGAGATTCTTGCCACCAATTTTATTTTCTTCTTCTTCTGAATTACTTGTGATCTTATCCTCTTTGTAATTCTCTTTATTCCAAGCTGTGTACTTTGTTCAGATAGTGATGACTGTAATGGAAATGGGAAGAAGAAGGTGAAAAAAGAGGAAACCTGGGAAGTCTGGCACTGGCTATTATTTAATCAAGATAGAATGATCATTTTAGTTTTGTTTTCCCTTTTTTGCGGGGAGTAATTAAACTTGAGTGAATAATCTCTTAAAAACATTCAGGGGAGGAATCTTGCCTGGGGCAAATGAAAGAAACTATCCTATAGGAATGTAGCTATACTATAGTATTTATGTTATTTTATTTTTCTTTTCCGAAATATATATGTATAATGGGCCTATCCTGAAAATGTGTAACTTCATTAATTTTTTTTTATTTTAGAAAATACTGCAGTTTCTACCTGAACGAATTTTCTTTCGATGGCATTACCAGAGTATAGGTAAGAACAATTAAAACAATTTCTTTTAGTAACATGAATTTCTTCCAGTTGAATTTTCAGTAATATTTTATGTAACTAACACCATCAGGAGAGCTTATAGCAAGAAACAAGGGTATAATAATTAAAACTAAGACAAGTCCAACCTGGGATTTGGAGGAAAATACATCTTTTTCTTCTTCTAAAAGTGCAATTTTAAAGTGTAGGTCATAGATCAGCAGCATCAGCCTCCCCCAGGAGCTTGTTAGAGATGCAGTATCTTAGGCCCAGACCAGAGCTACTGAACATAATAGTTTGAGAAACACTGATCTAAAGTATTTTCTTAAATAATTTTACATTATTCCTTGCAAAAAAGATCTTGTTTGTTAAGCCTGTATCATTGGCTTATAATTGCTATTTGAATACCGTAGGATGTGATAGCCAGAGGAAACTTGAAGGAAAGCAAGTTATCACAGCTGCCCTTTCTCTTCAGCTCTTAATGTCTAACAAAATATCATCATGATTAAATGTGCATAGCCCAGCTGAAGTGATTCTAAGGTACTGATTATAAATTCTGCCTTCTGTTTTAAAGAGTATCTGCTTCATTCCTTCTGCTGTACAAGAGTCTCATTTCCTACAATTTTTCTTCTTTACTATATGGTCATATTGGAAGAGAGCATGAACTTTATAATGGAGTTCAATTTTATTTGGTTATTCAGTCATGCAAATTTTAATTGAGGGAGAGACATTGGTGCAGTGTTTTAGGGCAGAAACAAAATATCTCACTATCTTGGTTATTTTAAAAAAGTACCTTAAGTTTAAAATCTTTCAAATACTCAAAGAAAATTTTCCTTTAAATCTTGTAGAGTTGTCTGTAGCATTTCTGCTTCATTGAAGCTTTGAGCATGTGTATTTAAATTAATGTAGAAATAAAATATTTAAATACAAAGCATAATCTGTAATCTAAAGAGACATCATGGGGTTTTGTGACACTCTATGATATAACAGTAATGGACTGCAATGAGAAATAACTGCATGCAGTAATTTTTTTAATCTGTGCTAGGTATAATCCTTCTTTAATTTTGTTTCTGTCATTTATATGAAAACCATACTCATTTTCTTCAGATAGCACTATAGAATGTCTAAAGATTAGTGGGCTTCCCTCAGCATGAATAAACTTATTAGAACTATATGAAAACTAATTTGTATTTGTGTTGTGAAACTTGACCTATCTAGTAGGCAGTATGTGGTATTATTTTAATTCTGCCTAATACCACAAAAACTGATAAAAATTGCTGGCACAAGTAGCTTTTTACCAACTTTGGTAGTATCTTCTCAAAAGTAACCAGAAGCCTCAGACTTCTCATCTGAGATTTCAAAGTACTAGTTTTCTGGTTCATCATAGTTGCAGTTATTTATCTGCTATGTAGAACAAGCTGTCTCTATAAAGTAGTCAAGTTGAGTTATAATTCAGAATGCATTTGCTTATAAAATCATCCTTATTATTAATGCATAGGTACTTAACACTTGAGTCAAATAGGCTCTTTTTCAGATGAATACAGTTTTGCATTATTAGTCAAATTGAGTAGACACCTCTTTTACATTGAAATTCAGCCTAGATATGCTTTGGAATCAGGTATTTTTAAATTTTAGAATGGCAATGTATACATTGTTAAACAACAAAGCAAACAATTTAGAACAACACATTATTAATGTCTGTGTATTTATGGGTCTGGATAGTAGTCTCTAACCAAGATAATTATTAGTTCTGGAGCTTAAGATATGAATATTCATCCTCAGTGGAATAACTAAGCTCAAAATAGACTTAGTCAGGTATTGCTAACATTTTTTAGGTCCTGTTCACTATTGACCTATACAAAACCCTCAGTTTTCACAGCCTTTTGGATTTTGAAATTGTTGCTATTACACAGTTTTATATGCCTTCCTATGCCTCTTGCATTCTTTCTAGTTTATTTGGATTTATTAAAACTGTGATTGTTTGTTGCTCAATGTATTGACCGAGTTAACTATAGAAAGTAAGAAACTATAGGTAAACACCAGATATCCATGGTAAGGGATGTTCCTTGAATGTCTCCTCAGCATTGGCATCTTGACTTTGTATAAAACTTCCCAACCTAGAGCAGGGGCCTTCTTTCTAGTTAGTGCCTAACAGTCTAAGTAGTTAATATTGCTTACCAAATAGGAAGACCACTGCTATACAACTTCTTAAGTCAATGTCATTGTACCTGGGAGAGGACAAAGCACTCTGAAATGTTGAGCTAGAATCTTGAAGTTCTAAGCCAGTGTAGCATGTTACCTGCTGCATACTAGAATTGATAATTCACTAAGCAGAAAATCTAAAGTAAAAATACCTCCCAAATTCTGCTAGTTTTGAAAGCTCTCAGTTCTATCTGAATAGCCATATTTTTATCCTGAGAAGGAAGGAAATAATTTGAAACATCAACTACCATAATGTTCAAATTCTGCTTCTTATCATGTCATCTTATTTTGTCTGTAACAAACACTTTCTGTTTTTCTTAAAATTGTTTTTATAGGGAAAAATAGTGTGTAGCTTCTCTTTGTTTTGGTTTTTAATGGCTAGTTCTTTTCTCACTGAATGCAGAATATTTGAATTCTGCATTCAATACGACCAGTATATAAGATCCTGCTTCAAGTGATGTTTGGAGAGCAAGAAGATCAGGAAAGTGGCTGATTCAACATTCATAGTTCTGTGATGTAGGCTATTATGACTGAGCTATTTGCAGATTTCTTTTACTGATTACAAATGCAAAAATTGTTTATCAAGCTTTCCTGAAATCATTTTTAGGCTGCTAAATCATAGTTGATAAAGTACTGCTTGACACCTTATCTCTGGGCAGTAATGAGAACTACAGGAAATGAGCTGACAAAGAATGTCATTGACAGCAAAACAGGGATATTTGATGTAAGAGCAGGCTGTAGTACTCCCTCATTTGCACATGTATCATCAATGTAGGACTAAAGTTATGTGGATGTTAGTTCACTTTGAAATGGTTTACTGCTTATGAGCGTCCAGAAGGTAGTTTTCCAGTCTGGTTCAATTTATAATGCTGTGCCAAAAATCAGTAAATATTTGTTGAGTGGGTGAGATGTTTTAAGCAAAATGCTTAAAAAAATAACCCTTCAGTTTAAAGGGTGAGGCTCAGTGGAAAATTTATACATGTACAATACCTTATTATAGTGTTTTTATTTGATTTTTTCTTTTAAAATATTTTTATTGGCATACATTAATAGTACAGAGGGGTTTCATTGTGGTAATGTCATAGATGTGTACAGTGTACCTCAAACAAGTTCACCCCCTCTATTACATTCTGCCCTATTTTTGAGCAGGGTTTGGTGGATTTTGTTATAACTGTCTATATCTATATCTATATATATCCATATATATAAATGAAGAAGAATACATATACTTCAATCCTCTTTACCCTCGTACCCTTTCCTTTTCCGTCCCCACAGATTTCCCCTTACTGTTCTCCTATGTAGACTCAAGTCACATTAATAACAAAAATAATAATAATAAATCACCATTATCATCATTTTAGGTACAGATTCACATATGAGTGAAACATGTGGGATATATGACTTTTTGAGCTTGGCTTATCTCGCTCAAAATGATGCTCTCATTTCCACCCATTTTCCTCTAAATGACATAATTTCATTCTTTATAGCTGAATAATACTCAATCATGTATTTATACCACATATTCTTTATCCATTCATTGGTCTTGGGCACCTAGGCTCATTCCACAGCTTTGCTGTTGTGAATTGTGTTACTATAGATGTGGGCATGCAGGTTTCTGCCTTATATGCTGATCTGCATTCCTTCAGATATATGCCCATGATTAGTTTGCAGAGTAATAAGGTAAGCCTATTTTTAGTTTTTTAATGAACCTTCAAACTGATTTCTATAGTGGTTGTACTAGTTTACATTCTTAGCAACAGTGTATGAGCACTTCTTTCCTCCCCAAATACTCACCAGCATTTGTTGTTGTTTTCTTTTTTTTTTTTAAATTATTGTTGTACTGGGGTACATTGTGATATTTACCAAAGTTCTTATAATATATCATAGTTGAATTCATCCCCTTCATCATTTCTTTTATTTCCCCATCCCCATTCCTAAAAAAGTTTCAACACATCTCATTTTACCATTTTTATACATGAATACATAATATGGGGGTTTTTTGTACTGGGACTTGAACTCAGGGCCTTCAACTTGAGCCACTCCACCAGCCCTGTTTTTGTGGAGTGATCCTCCTGATCTCTGCCTCCTGAGTAGTTAGGATTACAGGTGTGAGCCACTGGTGCCCAGCTTCATAATATGGTTTTTATTTGTGAGTTGTTGTTAAATCTAGTGTACATACCTAGGTTTCTCTTACACATAGTATAGTAACTAAATGAATTTTGTTTTTGACTTTGCAAGAATGTCCGTGGCTGTGTGCCTAGTGGCCCCTACATTGCCTGAGATATAATCACAACTCTAACTAGCTTCAGTTCTCAAAGTTCTACTGCCTACTGGACTCTACTCTTTCAGGAGCCTGAGTCTGACAGGCTTTTTCTGTTTCCATTGCAGTTAGGCCATACCATCTCCCACTCTTCCAAAAGGACAAGGTTTCCCTGTGTGCTTGGCACTAGGACTCCCTCAGAAGGGTCTCATAGCTGGCTGAGCTAAACTCAGGTCCTTTGTGGCTCTGGGACCTTCTTCCTCCTTCTTCATCCTTCTTCTTCTTCTTCCTCATCTTTTCCACAGTCACTTCTAGGCTACCTGTTCTGTTTTTTTCTCATTTTTAAAAACAGCTTTATTGGCATGCAATAAATTGAATATATATAAAATGCACATTTTGATAAGTTTTGACATAGGTATGTATCTGTGAAATCATTACTGCCATCAAGATAATGAGCAACACCACCAAAAGTTTTCCCATTTTAACTTGATTGAGATAAAAAGTCCTCAGATCTAAGACTTCCAATATATTTCTGTTTTAAAAAGTAACTTTTTTTGAGGTTAGATGCTATTTTAGAGGCTTCATATGATACTAGGTGAGGTTCCCATACCCTGTCCCATATTGGGGGTATGAACGCATTTACATAATAATTACTTGTATGTTTCTAGCCCCCTAAGAAAAACAGTATAACACAGTGGGCAGCAGCTTCAAAGTTTAGCTGTTGACCATTGTGGTTCTGAATAAATCTTGATTCTGCTTCCTTGACTGCAATCATACTGCTCCATTAGAGGATTTATTGCTATACCAACTCCCATAAATGTGCTCCTTATTGCTAGGAGAGAACAATGCCCTTCTGTATATTTGTAAAATGTTCTTATAAAAATGTTTTGTGGGCAGTAGTTTTACATTATTTTTATCTTTAAAGATTTTTTAAAAATCATTTTATTTATGACAGATATTTGCATATAATCGTCTGAAGACATTTGGGTTATCTTAATATCAATCATTTTGACTTTTTATAAAGAATTGAAGAGGTAGATACTCAGAATACTTTTACCTTAAAAATGTCTTTCCTTTTGTGTCATTTGCTTTACTTTGATTCTGAAGGTCAGCCTTCTTTTTATTAAAAAAAAAAACTATTAACTTTTGTCATAGGTACATTTTTTCTTTCTAAAACTGATCTTTTAAAAATAGATCTTACATATTTATTCATATACTTAAAAAATATTCATTCATATACTCCATATCTAATTTATTGTCTTAAACTTTCAGGTTCAACTTTAAAGAAGCTTCTACACACTGGAAATTCTATGAAGGTATTTATTTTAGATGAAAGTGTAATGGCATTTGTAGTTATTTTTTTGATGGCACAGGAATCAAATTTGTTAATGTCTCAAAGTAGCAAAGAGCATTTTGAAAAAAAAAATCTTCACAATCTACTTGGTTTAGTTTTTATTTTTAATGTAGAAATTCTATGATAAATATCGTTACAAAGGGTTTTGTTCTGACACGACTTGTGAGAGACCTTTTAAATAGTGTTAAGAAGAAGTGACTTGGCTTTAGAGTTTGGAGTTCTGAGTTTCAGTTGTGCTTCTGCTGGGTACAGCAAGGGAGTGACTGCTCCAGTTTTATCATCAGAAAAAGGAAAGGAACTTTTAAGCTTCAGAGCTAACATGCCTGATTCTATCCATGTCAGCAATCTGGTTGTTAAAACGATAGTTGTCTCTGAATTAATTTTGCTAATTTTAAGAACTATTATGGGGAAAAAGAGTAGCAGAGCCTAACTCTTGAATATTTATTTGAAACAGATCTTACAATTTAGGTTAAAACTGGCTTGTTTTTAAATGAACATACCTTTTGTAATGACATAGACCATCTGATGCTGGGATAAGATGACCCTAAAACATGAGTGGCAGAACAGAGGCAGCCTGTGATTAATATTTTATGGGAGATAATTCACTTGTAGATAATTAAGTTAGTACATTTTTGTTTTTTATACCAGTTTAAACTACCATAGTCACTTAAAACTTAATGTGTTAACTATCTCTTACATGTTGGAAAAAAGCTATTCCTAGCCTCACTGTAGATTCCATATTTGTTCTTATTTTTAAAAGAATCATTTTAGAGTTAAAACTATCAAGCTGTTATTATTGTTAGTCTTATTGATATCTAGTTAACATAAAAATTGGGGACATAATAGAATTTCATAGAAACTTTCCTATTGTTAAATACTATTTGATTAAATATAGAGAGAGCTTCATAATTTTTGTCTACTGACTGAATATTAATGTAGTCAATGTTACCACTCATTTTATCTGTTAGAGAGGAGGATAGGCAGGCAATGAGATTTGTGAAAAGTGGTGGAATGCGGGGGGGATGTCTGGATGTGTGCTGTGAATCCACTCATTTAATGGGGTAGCACTGTCACCAGCTAGGGTGTCTGTCTGGTGTATTTTGACTTCTATTGGAGTCAGCACACACACACACACACACACACACACTCTCTCTCTCTCTCTCTCTCTTTCTCTTTTTTTATATATATATATGTATTCTTTTTATATATGTGTATATGTTTAATGTATATACTATATATAATTATATATATTATATATGACATATAATGCATATATTCATTATATATAGAAAATGTATGCTTGTATGTAAGTGTATTTCCTCTTCTCTGCCTTTTAGTTTTCCTGCACAGTCTCATGTTTGGCTTGCAACACTTGCTTTGGAGGAATCAGTACCACCTTCAGTTAATTGAAAAGCAACCAGGCAGCCCCTCAGCTGCCTGCATTTGGAGCTCACTACATCTTTCAGCTGCATCTGATACATTTTTCATTTTCATTTGCTTACTTAGCTTCTTTTATTGACATCATCTTTCAACCATTTAGGAATACAGAAAAGGTGTGTTTTTTTAATTCAAGGGCTAGAATGAAGTTGGAAGTAAATGTTTGGGGAAGAAAAAGGAAACATCTGCTTATTTTGATGTTTTCCATCAGGTGATGCCAATCACTCAGAGCCCAGTAAAGATGTGGAAAGACTTTAGAGTATGGACATAAGGCAGGGAAGCTAGAGAGCTGTACTGTTTCATTGAGCCAGGTCTTCAGAGTCTCATTTAGCTGTAAGTATTCTGATTTTCAAGAGCATTATAAGCAGGTACATATTTATCATGACATGACAAAAAATTCTCTCTAAAGCATAATACAAATTTGGAGGAAGATTATTTTTAGCATTGTTTTTCATGGATACTTGAGCATTAATACTATGGACACTGTTACCTTACAGAATGAAATACCATTGCTAGGAAATACAGTGCTCATTGGGAGCCAGGCATTGCTTTATGTGCCTTACATATGTTAACTCACTTAATCCTTGTGATAGTTCTTGGTGGTAAAAAACTGCATCACCCTGTTTTATAGATGAGGAGACTAAGTGGCTTTCATTGGTCATACCTAGAAAGTAGCAGAAACTGAATTTGAACCAGGCCCTCGGGCTCCAGAACCCAGGCTTTTAACCTTTGTGCTGTATTGTAGTATTCTTGCTTACTTGTCACTAAATGAAGAACTTGCTGTAGGACTTTAATGGTATGTTCTTTTCTTTTTTTTCTTTCTTCCTCCTTCTCTCCTCCTTCTCTTTCTCTCTCTCTTATTCCTTTCAGCCCTCCTTTTTCGAGACAGGGTCTTGCTATGTAGCCCAGGCTGGCCTGAACTCTTGATCCTACTATGTCAGCCTCTGGATCGCTGGGATTACAGGCATGCACCAACAAGCTTTGCTCTCTAATTTTTCTTTCTTAAGATGGATGCTATATGACAATGCTTTTCTACATATACATGTGTTTCATTTTCATTGCTTTTAATTTTACTTTTAGATAAGATGTGAAGGAATCAGGCTGTTTCTTTTGTGGCTTCAAGCACTTCAGACAAACTGTGCAGAAGAGCAGGTGCTGATTTTTGCTTGCCTTGTGCCTGGTTTCCCAGCGGTCTTGTCATCCAGGGGGCCCTGCACATTGGAGACACTCATCAATCCAAGCCCTAGTGTAGTTGATGGTAAGTGATGTTTGTTAGCAGATCTGGCATGCTGAAATTACTCCTGAATGTACATTGAGAAATTCCTTAGTTTTTCATTTTAATGAATAGAAATCCTGATGGGGTCTGAAGAGGAATTACTTCCTATAACTCAGACTGTTCTCTTTCAAACATTAGAATGACAAACTTGGGGCCTATTTTCTATGCAATGATAAGAGAAATTTACTGAAGTGGTGGAAATAGGAATGGAAGGGAGGGGACAGATGTTGACAATAGCAGGAAGTAGAGACACATGGTATGTCTGGAGTGTTTTTGTGTCTGCTAATGATATTTAAATCTGTCTTCCAAAACTACTGACTGTTGTTCTCATCACTATTGTTTCATAAGTGGGCATTCATCTCTTGTTGCCAGCTATGTATTTTCATGCAGCATTTATAGAAGGTCACTTGTGACATCGCTGGTCCATTTGTATCCTATGAGTTTTCAAGAAACTTCCCTGTTAGGGTCATTGGTTTATGACTGCATATCACTTCTTTGCCCAGTGACTGGCATTTGATCATAAATTGACCAAAGCAGATCTTGAAAGGGAAAGAATGGGTCCATTCTTTGGTGGGAGAGGTGGGTTCATGGCCATCTGTACTATATTTCGAGCCCTTGATGCACACAAGTTTAGAATTCAGTATGCAGTTCCAATGGCTGGATAGATGTATTTTTTTAAATTTTATTTATTTATTATTCATATGTGCATACCGTGCTTGGGTCATTTCTCCCCTCCCTTACCACCCATCCCACCCCCTCCCTCTCCCCCCATCCCTCGATACCCGGCAGAAATTATTTTGCCCTTATCTCTAATTTTGTTGAAGAGAGAGTATAAGCAATAATGGAAAGGAACAGGTTTTTGCTAGTTGAGATAAGGATAGCTATACAGGGAGTTGACTCACATTAATTTCCTGTACATGTGTGTTACCTTCTAGGTTAATTCTTCTTGTATTTTAATAAAGATAATTTTTTTAAAAACCTTGAATCCTATTTACAATTAAACTTTGGTAAAAGAGCTCTCATTGTTTCCTACCCTGCAGCAAAGATATATCCAGAAGAAATAACTCCACTCCTACCAGCCCATATCAGGGAGAAGATCACTGAGGACCAAACCTGCTTTTTTCTTCAAATACTGCTGAAGTATATGGTTATTCAGGTCAGAAGGAAAATCATAGCCATTTCAGTTATGGGCTTATTCTCAGTAGAAAGGAAAACAAATGTTGCTTCTTTTTTTTCTGTGGGTTCATCCTTTTTAAAAAAAATTTTCTTTGGGGTGATTTTATGTGATATTTCACTAAACAGGGTATGTACCATTGTTAGGTCACTTCCACAGGACCAAGCATAAGTGCCACTTTGTGAGAATGTGTTTAAACTATTTTTCTTTGTTTATCCTGTTCCTGGACGAGGAGGTAGACCCAGAAGGTGAGTGGAGGGCCAGAAGTAGGCAGGCCAGACAGAGAGATGGGCATGCATTCCTTTTTCTTAGATTTACCACTGGAATATGGAACCGAAATCAGTAATTTATCATTTTCACAGCTAATTTAATAGCCTACTTGTCACTTATTTTATATTTCTGAATATCATATGGTTAGAATAAAATCTACTGAATTTTTTCTCAGTTAACACTTTTCTTATCCCTGTGCTGCTTCTAGGTGTAGTCCAGTATGTGACTTTCCCTTCACAGCTGAGTTTGTTGAAATCATCATCTTTGCCACTTCTGTTTTCCTCCTAACATTTCTTTGACACTGACTGTTCCTCACCTTCTGCCCTGTCACTGCTGAATGCCACGTTCCAACCATGGTGGGGTTTCAGGGGTCCATGTGGAGAGAGATACTCTTCTGTTTTTGCTCTGCTTATCTTTGAGATGATTTGAGTGATTACCCTCCTTCATGAGATTCTCTCCTCTCAATGATGTTATCTTATGGCTTTTCTCCTTTTTTTCTCTGCTTCTTTCCAGTTTTCTTTAAGGAACTGTGTTTTTCTCTACTGCCCCCAAAGTTCAGTTCTTGGCTGCCTTTTCTGACTACTCAATCTTGCTGGGAATCCTGACTTCTACCCCCACTCCCACGTCATTTAGCAGCCACCAGAAACAAAAGGACTTCAGATTTCTGATAGTCTGATCAAAGTATTAATGTTTCTTCTGGAAGCTTCACGTTTGGCTTATGCTTGTTCTACATGCATCTAAAAATGCACCTTGTTACCTGTTCAGAAGTGGTTGAACATTCCATTAGTCCTGGGAATTCAGCACAGAATACTTAGAACTTGGATGTGTTGAGGGCCTACTCTCATAATAGATGTGTCACTAATGAATTTGTGACCTGAATTAAGTTTAAAAAATCTTCCAGGACCTCCATTAGAAGGGGATAGCATTTGAGGTAGAGATTTGTATGCAGACTGTGAGCCCCCTAATTGTGTGTTGGGCTTAATTTTCATGTTTCTACATCTACCTTCCTTTCTGTTTGTTTGGGGTGAATCCTCAGAGCAGAGCTTCTGACAAGTTATGGATGCTGAGCTCCTCTGCCTCAGGGGCAGCCAAAGCTCTTTGTCTCTTTATCTCAGGTGTGCATAGCTGTTATCATTTTCTAAGTGGACTAGTCATGAAGGAAATTGGGAAGCTATGTTTTGGTCTGACAAATTTAAGATCCACTGTTAAGGTCCTCTATTAGGGCCCTCTGCTCCATCTTTCTTCTCGATAATATGGGGGTGACTATACCTCTGTAACAGGCTGTCCACTGGGCTCCTGAGGGGTGCTGCCCAGCTTGAGCTGTTTCGGATTGCTTACACTATGCACAAACTGCTGGTTTTTTTGAGGGGAGAATATTCTTCACTACTACAAAAGCTTTAAACTTAATCTATAGCTGGACTGATAGACCTGGTTTATTTTAGCCTGCAAGTACATTTTAATAAGGAGAATGCAGTTTCCAAGATTCCATACCTTTTATCTTTTTGATACTGACTTTGTATTTAGATAACATTGGATGAAATCACTGAGAGGAATTGTGTCTTTAATTCCTACTTATAAATGGCCATTTTTTGAGGTTAGGAAAAAAAGTACTTGATTACTTTCTGACTAGTTCTTTTAAAGGCACAAGAAATATGTAATCATTTTAAAGAACATGTGGAAGATATGAGCTTAATATAGTAGAGCAAGTTTAAAATATATGATACCATCTTTTTTAAAAAAAAATCATGTCTGTCACTTTTGAGCTGTTAGGATATGATTTTCATTGCATATTGTCAGTATTATTTATCATTTAAAAAAATTTAGGATAGGAATTTGACTCTAAATTTTCATTTTATATTGTTAATTTGAAATGTAAAATATGTGTATCTTTTTATTCCCCACAACTATTCAAAGGCTGCAAGCTTGGAGTGGAAGAATAAGGAAAATCAAGATACTGGTTTTAAATTTCTTTTTACATTATTTCGAAAGTATTATCTTCCTCATTTATTTCCATCATTTACTAAGTTTAACAAATGTCTACAAACCTGTACTTGGTAAGTATTGTTTGAGCTGTTGTAGGGCAACACGCACAGGTGTATAGTTGTTCTCAGTTGATTCCTTGGTTTTTTTTAAAGTAAAATAGTCACATTACTCTTGTATTGAATAGTGACTTTATGTAAAAGGTTTAAAGTTTCCTAATAAGTGTTTAATTTATGGTGAACCCACTAAGATGTTATTTTACCTTACCATGGTTTTTATATTAGAAGTAATTTAAAATGTATCATAATATTTTTGATGTAATTATATTTACAGTCTTTTTAATGAAAAAAGGTTTTTTATGTTTCCCAAAGTCTTTTCTTAGGGAGGTGGGGTATGGTGACCCCCAGATTCTTGCTTCAGTGATGAGGCAGGCAAGCCCAGCCCACAGTTTGTCCTTTCATGCTGGATCTTTATCCAGCAGGCAACTACTGACAGTTACTTATGAGGGCAGCTGTTTGGGTGACTGGGCAACCTAGAGATAGTAAGCCCCAGAGAGCTAGGAAAACATAAGAATTTATAATTTAGATCCTAAAAGTTTTCCTCTGTAAGAAATGAGAACTGGGTACAGTGCCTCACATCTGTAATCCCAGCTAATTAGAAAGTGGAGATAGGAGGATTGTGGGCCAGAGGGCCAGCCCTGGGCAAAAGTGATGCCTATCTGAAAAATAAAATAAATGGCTAGGTGGTAGAGTGCCTATTTTAGTAAGCATCAAGGCCCTGAGTTGAAATCTCAGTAAAGAAATGAGTAGCAGTATGGTGGCATATGTCCTTAATCCCAGCACACAGGAGGCTGAAGCAGGAAGATCATGAGTTCAAGGCCAGCCTGAGTGGCATAGTGACACCCTTTCTCACAAACAAAACAAGAACGATAAAAGAAATGAGTTGTCACAGGTCAGAAAAGCATTACCTTTTGAGTGTAAAGTCTAGGGAACAAATCTTCTCCTTGTATATTTAAAACAGAATAAAATTTATTCAAATGAATAGTCAATAACAGTTTTAAAAGGAAAAAAAGTTTAAAGGCGACATATATCCATCTGGGCAACATGGCCAAATGACTGAGTTGTCTTTGCTTTCATGTGTATATGAGTGCACACACACACACACACACACACACACACACACAGTAAGGAGAGAGTAGCTGAAAGTTGGTGTTTTTTGAAAGTTATATAAGTTACTGACTTTTAGAGGAAGCTAGCGACATGTATTTTTGTTAGCTACACATATACATACGAACATTTTTTCAAAAAACTTTTCTGATTTTATATGTAATCTTATTCATTTCATTGTAAAAAAAATTACACAGTTTAGTATTTTAGGTTAAAAGTTACTTACTGAGATTGTGTTGTTTCATGCAGGTACTCCAGGTATTTAAAAATTAGTTAAGCTAGCAAGTCGGACTTACGGCAAGTAGTATATTAAATCAGTACAATATAATTCATATTTGATGAAATTTAAAGAATGAGAAGTAGGGACCTCTTTGGTAATTCTTTGAAAAAGATAGCATATGATATCTTAAAGATGAACTGTGGTTTTCTGAATTTGACTATAAAGTAGATTATGTTGATTCTGTTTCCTTGAATTCATCCAAAGGGAAAAAGATATAAAACTAAAGTTCAAAATGGAGGACAAGAACATAAATCAGGTCCTATCTAGGGGTTGGTACCAGTGGGAATGGGGAAGATATAAGGGAAAGCATGTCGGAGGGTGAATAAATATTATGTACTCGTGTATGAAAATGGAAAAAATGAGACCTGTTGAAACTATTCTAAGAATGAGGGAAGAAGGAATAAAGGAGAATTGATAGAGGACGGTAAATTTAACTAAGATATATTGTAAGCACTTTTTATAAATGTCACAATGTACCCAGCACAACAATAATAAAAACATAGAAAGCTACAGTAATTAAAAAAAAAAGCCCTACAGTCAGTGGATTTAATCAGTGGTATTAGATATGAAAATACCTAAAGTGATTTTTAGAAATACATGCTTTTATATTTGTTCCAGTCATAAAATAGATTAATTAGGTATAATGTATATAAAGAGATCTTCACTACTAAAGTCACAGGTATTTCTCAACTTTGTTAAAAAGAGCTATTAGTTACTTTTTCCATATACCATAGTTGTGTGTAACACACTAACAATAATAGCCACCTTTTTGTGGTCAGATTGTGAAACAGAAACATGAAATACCAAATGATGCTATTTTTCATCATTTGTGGGTCTTCACTCTAGTTTCTGTTTAGACAACCAAATATATGTTTATTAACCAAAAACTGAAACATTTAAAGAGATTACATAATACTAAGATTCACTAACCTAATTAATATATCTTTTTCTACTAGACATCCCACACTTGAGACCAAACCAGTGACATCACTACAACTCGAGATAATGAAACCATTACATGTACAAAAATTCCCTACATGGCAGCTCGTGTTGTTTTATTAAGTGGATTCTGTAACTTTCTTTTTGGAAAAAAAGTATACTAGCCACAACACAAAACACTAAAAAATGGAGTGATGTGTTGCCTAAAATCATCCAGGTATGCCATTCATCATTTTTTAAATCTCTTAATCTTGAATAATAGAACACACTAACACATAACCAGGGAAACTGAGTTATTGGTCTTGTTACGTTTTCTTG